TACGTTAAATGTCTTGCACTTCTTTAGATTTTGCTTGCTTGTCTGTTGATTGCTTGCAATAACAAACTCTCAGAACACACATGTTGATTTTTTATTATAATGGTTGAGTCAAAACATTTTTCTCTACTCAAACAACGTTGCCTAGCTGAATTAGCAATCTAGTTATCATTTTCCTCATTGTTTGCACTCTGCTGACATTTTGAGCAGCTATTGTTTTGTTGGGTGTCTCCTGTTGAACAGAACTAACGGGTTTCTCTCCACCTTCAGTCCATCATCTGCTAAGTGAAGAAATAGCTGGTGGATAAATGGTCAACATTTACCAGCAGTATTGCGCTACACATATGACTTGGATGTGTGTAGAGTTGGAGAGAGCTGCCATTGCAGACTAAAGGAATCATGTCCTTTGGCTGAATGAGTTAAATCACGACCGGAGCTACGGCCGTTGAGGACTTCTACCAGTTGTTGCCACAAGCAATACCTTCCTACAACTCAGATGGCTCATAGACTCCCATTCATTTATGTTTTTGCAGTAGGGGATGGGCGTGACTTAGACTCCCCATTGTAGCTGCAAACAATCAAGAAATTATTCAAACAATAATAACTGCAAAATGTATAACCATGTAAAGGTTTGTAAAATGTTTAGTGTGATTATACTTTAGATTAGAGAGGATTTAATGTAGTTATCCAGTTATCTTGGTAATCAAAGAGCTTGGCTAGATATAATAAACCTTTCACTTCAGGCAATCTGAGCTGTTACTTCAGGTCTCATTACTCTGACTTTATTTAACCCTCCCACTGTCCTAATGGGTGTGACGCCATGAGGAAAGTTGACCATTGAGCAGGATTGATGGTTTATCCCTTGAGGTCCACGTGGCAAGGGTGAGGTGGTGCTCACTCCTCACCCTTGCCACATGGACCCAAGTGATAAACCATCAATCCTGCTCAATGGTCAACTTTCCTCGCGGGGTCACCCATAAAGACAAGGGGAGGGTTACAAAACAAACCAACTACATGCTAATTGCTAAATGCTATGTCAAACTGCCTCAAAAATGAATTAATCTGAGTCTCTAATAAATGACAAGCCAGTAGCTGTTCTGCTTAGACATTTCTGTTAAACTGGCCATTTTCCATAACTGGTATTCAGTCGTGTTTGAAAGCTTCCTCCTGACTCTTGAAGCGAGGTGATAGCTAGTGCTGTAAACGTCCAGCTTGCTTCGGGCTCAAGTCTCATCCTCTGTTGGTCAAAAACAGGTTTCATGTCTGGTGGTTGATCTGAGTTCAGCAGAAGACTGAATGAACTCCAAAACCAGACCTTAGTGGGAACAAACAAAGCCAATGGTGAAACCTGTGTTTGGTGTATTCAGACTCTGAGGCTGTGCTCATCATGTTGATGTGACTTTAAAAAGCTGCAGACAATGACCTTTAGCTTCATGGCACCACTGCTTGGGTTTGGTTTCTCCTCTCACAGCTAAATGACTGTGGCTCTGGAAACACCAGCAGCCCGCAGCGCACTAACAACTCTAAACTGGAAACTTTCCCTTACTGTACTGAAAAGTGTGAGGAAGACCAATCATGTACAAAAAAGTGTCAAAATAAAATGTTTTTTTTTTAATTGTTTTACTGTGTGTACAAATCTATGTACCCCTAGGTCAGGGGTCGGCAACCTGTTCCCATCAAAGAGCCATTATTACCCATTTCCCACAGTAAAGAAAACACTGGGAGCCACAGCAGCTGCGGCGTTGTGGGCGGGGCCTACCGTCAGACAGCAGAGAGCTGCCTTAACCAATCACAACAGGTGACAGCAGCCAGTACCGGTCGCTCGTGTACGTCAAAGTTATCTTTCATAAGATGATAATCAATAAAACGATTTATATAAAATGGATCCAGAAGTTGTAGTCCGTCTCTGCCTACAATATTTTGATATTTTTCACCCTGTTGGTGGTTTTACTGAGCAGGTGTCACTTTTGTCATACGTTTCTTTTTAAAACATGTTTAGACTGTTCAGAATACAAATTCAGGCTCTGTCACGTTTGATTGTTGTAATTAAACTTTGTAGGTGGGGAAGGTCCGAAAATGATTCGATCAATTTGTTTTTCCCTCATCTACAATGACGGAGACAACGGCGCAGTGCACCTGGCTCTGGTGTTAATCAAGTTAAATTATATCTCTTTGTAACAATTTTCACAAGAAAACAGAACAGTTAAAAGCAGGGCTTGTGTTGTGTTAACCGGATAGTTCCTGTATTTGACCGTTTATTTAGACGGAGAAAGAATAGAAAGAATTACCTCGACGCATGCAGACGAACTGACATTTTATTCGTTATGCGCATCGCAGATGTAGCTAAATCACTCAAGAAAAGATTCCCATCTGAACATCTGAGCTGGACACCGCTTAGTGCAGCTCGCTGTCAGCGCGTACGCACGGTGCACAGCGAGCTGAAGATGTGGAGAGGGGCTTGGAGCGCGTCGCAGAACCAGAGCGCATGCAGAAAGATTCCTCCGTCTGAAGCGAGACTTGTCACTTAGAAAATGTTCCCTGATTATGAAACTTTGGCTGAATAGCGCTTGTTCCTGTCTCCAATGTGGCGACACATCCAGGAGCCTGTCTGAGGAGAGTCCCAGAATCTGACATCCTCGTCAGCTCAGAAAGCGCCTATGATGACGCACAAGCGTGACCCGTCAACCCGGTCTCACAGTAAGACCAGGTTGGACCTGTTCAGGTTTACGCAGACAATCTTTACATTTAGAATTGGCATACAGATGTAAAATTAATGCAGTAAAATATAAAGCATTTTATTTAAATATCCATTCATTATTTTACAAGCACAGAGAGCCACATCAGATGGATGGAAGAGCCGGATGCGGCTCCAGAGCCGCGAGTGGCCGACCCCCACCCTAGGTAATACACAAAACCAGAGTGTAGAAAAGGTATGAACTTGATTAGCTGCGGTTAAATCTTGGATGTCTGAAAACTTTGTATATTTCATTGAATCTAAAACCGAAGTTCTACAAGTTGGTCCAAAACAATCAGCTGGTACCAGCTGTTTGGATTTGGGGCCATTAACACAGTTTCTTAAGCCCATCGTCACACATCTTGGTGTGAAAATGGACAGCCAGTTTTGTCTTTGTGGTATCTAAAGAAAATACAGCAGCCGCAGAGCTTGGTTACTAGATGTGGTCACACGATTCACTCTGGTCCACGTAAGCATTTCTTTGGGTGCATAAAGCTCGCCATTTTTAGAAGAATGAGCCTTCGGCTATTTAAAGTTACAGTAATATAGTGAACGTATGGACTGGTTTGTCCAATCTGGGTAGATTCTATCCCCTCCTACCATGGGAGTGGAAATGTGTTTCCCAAGTCAATAAAAAGGAGCATTTGGGCGTTGTTTGGGGATTTCATTTGGCTGAATTCCTCCTGGTTCCAGACGCATCGAACCTGTACTGATGTGAACTCATTAATAAAGTTTCTGATGTCAAAGAGCCTCAGGGAGGCTTTCTTCAGAAGCTCATCGGCTGATTCAAAGGTGGCAGCTCCCGACTGAATTCACTACATTTTCCTGGCGTCACGAATAGGACTCGAAATCTTGATAAACACATTAGCTCAGTGGTGAGTGCTAGCTTTTTTCACTTGAGACAGCTAGCAAAGATTAAAACCCTGTTATCGTGACAAGTTTGGGAAATTTTAATTAATGCATTTGTGATGAGTTGGCTGGACTACTGTAACGCCCTGGGCATCAGCCACGGCACATCTTTTAACTGGTACCCGAAAGTATGAACACATTTTGCCGGTTCTTTCAGGCCTTCATTGGCTTCCAGTCAGGTACAGAATAAATTTAAAATGTTGTTACTTGTTTTTAAATGCCAAAATGGTCTTGCCTCACAATTGAGTTGTTGTCTTCTCATGTGCCTGTGTGGTCTCTTCGGTCAGCTGATCGCGGCCAACTCACGGTTCTCCTGATAAAACGTAAGAGCAGAGGAGACAGAGCTATGGAACGCTCTGCCTATAGAAGTAAAACAGGCAGACTCTTACTGTGTTTATAACCCACCTGAAGACTCACCTGTTTAATTTAGCCTTCCATTGAGTTGGTGTCTTTTTTTTACTTTTACAGGATTGCAGCTATTTCTTTCTTTTTATGTAAATTATTTTTACACAGCACTTTGGTGCACATTGTTGTTATTTATTGGTGCTTTATAAATAAATAAACAGCATTGCAAAACTGACATTTTATTGCATTTTTTCCATTCAACTGTTAATATAAAATAATTGATAACTGTATCCATTAAAAGTGACAATAAAATATTTTTATTGTGACTCTGAACTGATGCAGAGCAGAGCCATCTACAATTGGAAAGGTGCATTACAAACGAAAGAAACGTTTGAAAAAGCATTTATAAAAAGAAATAATAATATATAATTATATTTTATTAAATAAATAAATAACAATCAGAATAGTTTTATGTTCAACACACATTTCAATATCTGTTCTAAAGCCTGCTGGGTTGAACTGAATACCTGTTCTGCCCTCTAGTGGAGCAAAACTACTTTTTAAAAATTATAATAATTTTGTAATTCAATTTGGACCAACCATTATCCAACTAAATGTAAATAATTTATATTTAAATTGTGGGGTATCTGTGTCTTATTTCTTGGAGAGAACATTAAGCCAGCTCTTAGAGGAGAGAGAAGGTAGCTTCACCTTCATATTGAAAGCTGGGACCGGTAGCTTGTTCATCTGGTACATAGTTTCTGTACTCTGAGGGGTTTTAATGTCAGACATTTTGAAACGTCTGATTTCTTTTAGATATACAACGCAGATGGGGAAATTAAAAGCTAAGTTAAAAACAGGTTGCATGGATATGTGTTTTTAAATAATGTGATCTAACAAAATGCAGCTAGATTCAAATCTAAGGGATTTTCTTTTACTGATCACTGTTTGTATTAGTGTCAGTGTTGTATTGTTGTGCCCTCCCTTACCTGCTCTCCACCCTTGTCCCCCCCAGGTGGGTCAGGAGAGAAAGACCGGGTTCCCATGAGCCATGAATCCATTCTGCTGATGGCAAACTCCCAGACAGACATGGATGACTGGGTGAAGGCCATACGACGGGTCATCTGGGCTCCATTTGGAGGAGGTGAACACACACCTTCACACTTTATCACTCACAGACAGATTATCATCCTCTAGTGGTTCACAGGGAACAACTGGAATTCAGAGCAGGACAGATCCAGTGTTTCTACTCAGCATCTTTTCTTTAAACATCTAGACTCTAAAGCCTTTTGACCAGGAAAGTCTGAATGCATACCTCCTTCAAACAGGAAGTTTTCATTTCCACTCCACCCTGCAGGCTCCAGAGATCCAGCAGGTCCGTTTGAAACAAAACCTAGCTTAACAGCAACATCATCACACTTCTCTGGCCCGTTTGTGCTCAGTCGCCAGCCTGCTGCCTCTATTCCTGCTCTTGACCCAGTCTTTACCTGACTGGAGAAACATGACCAGAGACGTCAGCCAGTCTATTCCAGCGCACCATGTTGTTTTATCCTAAGATAAGTGCTGACACCGGCCCTTTTGAAGCCTGCTCACTAATGATTACATGAATGTTATTTTAAATCCTCACAGCAGGTTCACTAGTTGTCAACCAGACAGAAGGGCAAAAATACACCAAGACACGTGACCATGAACTCCCAGGCAGCAGCTGAACACCGAGGTGTTGAGTTACAAAGAGTCACTATATTAATACAGGCATAAATGTAGAGTACCACACTGATGATATCATGTATAACATCACATTCATACTTGGTCTGCCATGACAACACTTTTACGGTGCTGTTAAAGTTAAAGTCCCATAGTCATCATCACAGACTGGTGAAATTCATCTCCACATTTCACCCATCCCTGTAGGGAGCAGTGAGCTGCAGCGGTGGCTGCGCTATGGAGCTATTTGGTGGTTTAACCCCCCAATCCAACCCCTTATACAAGCAGGGAGGCGTCGGGTCCCAATAGGCATGTTTCCACAACAAGACCTTCCAAATTATTGGGGCTTGGTCTGACATAGAAAAAACATCATACAATAATTTTTACAATTCCCCTCATCCGCTAACTTGAGACTACATCTCTCTCCATCAGCAGTAGCGGTTTTAGGCACGGGCAGACAGGGCAGTTGCCCGGGGCGGCATTTTTTCATGGCACAAAAGGGGCGCAAAGGCGCTGAGTATAAAAAAACGAAAAAAAGAAATCTGCGCCGCACTGAGGTTTTCTCTTATCGGTTATATGACAGTGTCTGGATTGGAAACAGCGAGTTGGCGCCCCCTGCAGCTGCAGGCGCTCCTGCTGACTGAGAACGTTCACGTGCTCCGTGTGTGTGTAAGAAGAGGAAGGGGAGGGGTGTGGCGGGGGAATTCACCTCTGGGTCTTTCCAAATGAAAAGCGCGGGTAGGGGCTGAATCAACTTTATTAACATGGCTAAAGTCAATCACGTCTTGATGTTCTTCCATTTAACGCACATTTAATTCATAATATCATAAACACAGGCCTATCATTCTTTCAGGTTTTTCTGAATTGTGTGAAATGACCAAATAAAAAAAGGAAAAACAAAACGATCGAGGTCAAATTGTTTAGTTCTGACTAAAGGAAACTTATTGAGTCAAGAGCCAAACAGAAGAGATGAACATAATGTCAGGCTGATCAGACTGGATGAAGGAGACGAACAAGGTGAGACGTTTTAACAGTTTTATTATTTCTCTGGTCGTATCTCTGTGAGGAAGAAACGATGACTGAGATGAGAAGCCGGTCACGGCGTCTTCCATAAATAGCCTTGCTTGGCTGTGACGTGGAGGGACTCCCCGCGAGGAGCACGCTGGGAGCTCCCCACGAGGAGCATGTCGGGAGTTGTGGTCCGAAGGTCAGCCGGGAGATACCTGAGTCCTGACAGGACCCCCCGGTCCAGGGACGGCTCCAGAAGTCCCAGCGCGACCCCGGCGGACCCAGAAGTCAGAGATCAGGGAAGGGTCCAGGATGGACCGAGCCGGCTCCCAGGAGCGTTCCTCGGGGCCATAGTCCTTCCAGTCCACCAGGTACTGCCAGCCCCGACCCCTGCGGCGAGCGTCCAGGATGCGCCGGACGGTGTAGATAGGCTCACCGTCGAGGAAGCGGGCAGGAGGCGGCGCCGGAGGCGGGAGAAGGGAGGACTCCACGTAGGGCTTGAGCCGGGAGGTATGGAAGGTGGGATGGATGCGGAGAGTAGCCGGCAGCCGCAACCGGTACGTGACCGGGTTGATGACCCTTTGGATGGGGTATGGGCCGAGGAACCGAGGGGCGAGTTTCTTGGACCCGGCACGGACCCGAAGGTCAGCCGTGGACACCCAGACCTTGTCCCCAGGAAAATAGGAGGGACCAGGACGGTGTCGACGGAGATGCTGGTGAGCATAGCTGGTGTTAGCTCTGGTTATGGAGGCTCGTGCTTTGATCCAGGCGCTCTTGCAGCGTCTCACCATGGCTTCCGCTGCAGGAACGGCGACCTCGGGTTCTTGGTGGGCAAAGACCGGGGGCTGGAAGCCATAGCAGACCTCGAAAGGGGACAGCCGAGTGGCAGATGAGGTGTGAAGATTGTGGGACAGCTCCGCCCAGAGGAGGTATTTAGGCCACTGCGAGGGTTGAGCCGCGACAAAACAACGAAGGTACCGACCCAGCTGTTGGTTAGCCCGCTCTGTCTGGCCATTGGTCTGCGGGTGGTAGCCTGAAGATAGACTGACCGATGCTCCCATCAGCCGACAGAAAGCTTTCCAGAACCGGGCCATGAACTGGGGCCCTCGATCCGAGACCACGTCGACTGGGAACCCGTGGAGGCGCACCACGTTCTCCAGGAACAGTTCCGCTGTGCGTTGGGCTGAGGGGAGACCCGGAAGGGCGATGAAATGGACAGACTTGGAAAAGCGGTCCGTAACCGTCATGACAGTGTTGAGGTTATTGACCGGCGGGAGACCCGTGACGAAGTCCAGCCCCACGTGGGACCAGGGGCGGCTGGGCACCGGAAGAGGTCGGAGGGCACCAGCCGAGGCCTGGTTGGGGTTCTTGGAGCGGGCACAGACGTCACAGGCGCTGGTGTATTCTTTCACATCCCTCGCCATGCCTGGCCACCAGAGGGCTCGCTGGAGGAATTTAAGAGTTCTGGAGAAACCAGCGTGGCCAGACAGGCGTGATGAGTGGGCCCAGGACAACGCCTCGCTGCGACAGGCCGTGGGGACATAGAGGCGACCCGCGGGGGTCTCTGGAGGCGCGGGGTCGTCCCGGAGGGCGTTCTGGATAGCTTCCTCCAACGGCCACCTCAGTTGGCCCAGGAAACGGTGTTCCGGGAGGATTGGCGCTGGCTCGGACGAGGGCGTGGAGTGGGTGAATTGGCGGGAGAGGGCGTCCGCCTTCTGGTTCTTGGCTCCCGGGCGGTAGGCGAGATGGAAGTCGTAGGGTTCAAAGAAGAGGGCCCAGCGAGCCTGGCGAGGGTTAAGCTGCTTGGCAGATTTAATGTGGGTCAGGTTCTGATGGTCAGTCCAGATCGTGAAAGGCCGAGCGGTGCCCAGAAGCCACTGCCTCCATTCCTCCAATGCCCATTTTATGGCCAGTAACTCACGGTCGCCCACACCGTACTTCTGCTGGGTGGTGGAAAACTTCCTGGAGAAGTAGGCGCAGGGATGGAGCCTGTCGTCGGGCCCGCCTTGAGACAGGATGGCGCCGGCGCCGACGTCAGAGGCATCGACCTCGACCACAAAGGGAACTGCAGGATCTGGATGGCGGAGGATCGGGGCCGAGGTAAAGCGGGTGACCAGGTGGCGGAAGGCCCGAATGGCGTCGGGAGTTAGACGAAACAGCTGGCCAGGGGAGCCTGGTCGAGTGAGAGAGGTGAGAGGGGCTACGAGGGTGCTATAGTTCTTTATAAAACGGCGGTAAAAGTTGCAGAAACCCAGAAAACTCTGCAGTTGTTTCAGGCTGGTTGGCAAGGGCCAGTCCTTCACCGCCTGGATTTTCTGAGGGTCCATGGTTATCCCTTCGTCCGAGATCATGTAGCCCAGGAAGGATATGGACTGCTGATGGAAGGAGCATTTCTCGGGTTTACAGTACAGGTTGTGGTCCAGGAGCCGGGTCAGGACGGCGCGAACATGATGGATGTGTTCGGCCTCGGATTTGGAGTAGATCAGTATATCGTCCAGATAGGCGAACACCCACCATCCCAGCATGTCGCGGAGGACATCATTAATGAGACGTTGCAAGACAGCAGGGCTATTGCATAGTCCGAAGGGCATAACCAGGTACTCCCAGTGGCCGGTGGGTGTTATGAACGCGGTCTTCCACTCATCCCCGGCCTTTATACGGACCAGATTGTAGGCGCTCCGGAGATCCAGTTTCGTAAAGATCCGTGCCTGGGAGATGGCATCTAGAGCGGTAGTGAGGAGCGGCAGAGGATGGCGGTCCTTGACCGTGATCTTGTTCAGACCCCGATAGTCTATGCAGGGGCGAAGATCGCCTTCCTTTTTCTTCACGAAGAAGAAGCCAGCGGCACCCGGAGAGGAGGAGGGTCGGATGAACCCCTGCTGGAGGGCCTGGGCGATGTATTCTTCCATCGCTTTGGTCTCGGGAGGCGCGAGAGAGAAAAGGCGCCCGCGGGGAGGACTGGTTCCGGGTAGCAGCTTGATCTCCATATCATATGGCCGGTGAGGTGGCAGGGAGGTGGCGCGCCGCTTGTCGAACACCGCGGCCAGGTCCAGGTAGGGCAGCGGCAGGTGGGGCGGTGTGGAGCCGGGGCCCCCGTCCGGAAGACCCGCCGAGGATGGAGGAGGAACGAGGTGAGTCTGGCACGAGGTTCCCCAGCCCAGCAGGCGGTTCTGGGACCAGGAAATATGAGGGTTGTGGAGACGGAGCCAGGGGAACCCCAGGATTAGGGGAGAAGAGGGAGCAGAAATGACCAGGAAATGGAGGGTCTCCTGGTGGCCTTGGGTGATCATACGGAGTGACTGGGTTCGGTCTCGGACTGGGTAGGGTTGGAGAGGCCTACCGTCCACCGAGGTCACTGGTATAACTCTCTCCAGGGGTTGTAGGGGGATCCGTAGGCGTTTTGCCAGACCCAGGTCCATGAAATTGTCCGAG